TTTCATGTCACTATTATTCAATACCTTAGATTAATTTAACACTTTGCTTGTATGATAAATTAATTTAATATATTCATTATTAGAAAAAAAAATTATTACAATGTGCAGTTTTAATGGTGTATTTAAAAACGTAGTAATAACTGCACTCCAAGATCTGACAGCACCAAGTCTCTTTACCCAGCCTGACAGCGCATTTAGTAAGGAAATTAAACCATCCCACATCATCCTGTCACCACCTAACTCCACTAGAAAATCGGAATATTATTTTCCAATAACAGTAAGAATATTTGTAGTTGATGGTAAAATCTATATATATAATACGTGAAGCCGTTTTTTGTTAACGCAACTCCTCCCTTATTTGTGGACCAATTTCAACGTTTGAGGTGTCAAAAGATTCGTCTCAATATGTAGTTATGCAATAAGGTTTTAGAATTTTAAAACTCTTGCTCTTAAGGGCGGGAGACCCTCTCAAAGGTCGGGGTTTCCCCATAAGAAATACATAGAACAAATTTAAAAACAAAAAACAGCTGTTTATAAAAAGAAACTCATTAGCTTTTTGGGAGTAAATATTGATGTTTGTAATATTTATTAGGTTAAGACCAAGTTAAACAGTTAAGTCAGTTTTGTTGGAAGAACAGAAAATGTCTCAAGTTCAAAGAAGAAATATTGAACACGGGAGGAGGACACAATTAATAATAAGATATCTTGTGCGTATGAGGACTGAGGAGAGTAGAAAAATAGAGGCCTGGTCTAACAGATACCCATCCAGACACACATTCACTTGGTAAGCTGAATACAAATTGCCACTGCTATGCAACTTAGTGTTGTCATGGTGGGAAAATAAACTTGCCTAATGTCAGATCAAATTAATGCATACAAGAAATGTTTACTTCAGACACTAACAGATCGGGACATTTCAAAACATTTAGTAGAAACTATAATAATGCCTTGACTATGATAAGTTCAAGTAGTAAGTTTATCCCAAATCTTGGCGGACCTTATGTTTTTATCGTTAACTTTTGTATTACTCGCTCTACTTCAATTGAGAAAAAAACGTAAATGGATTGTTTACTACTATGTTGCCAGTTCCTCGGACAAACTTATAGGCCTACGTTTTTTTGACTGAATTCACCAACAAAATCCAGACATTTCAAGTCAAAAATAAGAAGTTTCAAAAACTCATTTGCTATTGAAAGATTAAGTGGCAATATTAGACCATACATAAGTGATGGAATTAGTGTTTATATATTAAACGATCGAGTAGTTACGGTCAAGATTATTTTTATGATTCAGGAGAGAAATAATATACGCTGTTCAAAAAGAGAAAAGTAAAATTGCTATCCAAATATTATAGCTGCAAGAACCAACCTATTTCGACAAATGTATCCATACTTTCAAAACTTTGGGAAAGGTATTAAGAGAAACTGCACTGAACAATGTGAGCATGTTCTGATGCGGGGCATACTGTACTGAAGGTACATATACTGTGACTGACAAACAACACGTCAAATTACGCGTTCAATGGTGTTGCTGCTTTAGCCTATTCAAAGCAGATTATGGCTGTCCAGTTGGTAACCCAGAGTTTGTGGGTAAAAAATGGAGCACATTAAAAGGTTGATATCACCCCACTTTTCAGGTTACTCTACGGAGAAAATTCGTTTGATCAGGGGGATGTCTCAAATCAAAGAAATAAAATGAACCAACTTCAATTACTTAAAACTTAGAGAAGAAATAATGTAGGTGAACCTTGACGACGCCAATAGAGATATTTAAAATTAGTTTCTAACAAGTTTTCAAGCAACTCTAAGATGTAACTTAAGTTACTCAAATTTAAGCATAAGGTTTTCCTAGGCGTTATGTTTCATACTATGCGGCTCATTGAGCCGCACGGGTTCTCTAGTTATTTATAATAAATAAATTCCTATTTTCTAAGTTATGTATTAATATGTGAGGCTAATAGAATAATGTCAAACCCGTATAAAAAATCAATATAAAAATAACCTATTTTAGGAGTTTTAATTTGATGATAAAATTTAAAACTACATAAGTTCTACATTTTTAGAGAAGAAAGTACAAAATGCACGATAGGTGCCAGAGAGTTTTGTTTTAATTGGGATTGTTTCAATAAGTATATTCAAGTAGTATATTAATATATACATTGTTTAATAAAAAATATCGTGTGCAAAGTATAAGGTTGATCATATTTTGTGAAACATAAAATGTTGTTTCACACATGAGGAGTAACAAAAAAGAGCTAGAGAGTTCATATTATTATTGTTGGGCTGCCGAGCAAACCATATTGGATTTTTTATTAGCTTTATTTGCCAAAGCTTTATTTTCCACTGTATTATTATTCCATTTGTGGGTATCTTAGATTAAATATGGAACCTGTTATTTTTATGATTAAAAGCATTTTTACACTGCTGAATACAAAGATTTGGCTTTCTATTAAGCACCTCTTAATAAGGGTTAGGTAGTGTTGTACTACATTGGTTGTTTAAATGATACTTGTTTCAAATAAATTTAATCATAATCCAACACGATGAGTAATAGATTAGCATCGTTTTTATATATATATCATGTAAGATATATTATATAATATACGTCCGTATTTCAGTAAATGTAATTTTTTAATGTTTTGATGTTTAAACAGTTTTAATTTTATCAGTTAAATAACATCTCATTGTAAAATATAAAAAAATAAACATCGTTCTTAGATTTGTGTCAGTATTCGTCATTCACATAAATACAAAAATTATTCTTCAATATTTAAACTGTTACCTATAAAGCGACACTAAAGAAAAAATATATAGTACAATTATTGAAAATGCAGACAAAAAATATTTATCAACGATATAAAAATAACTAGCTGTAGCAGAGTTGAAACGGACTATGAAGTAAATTTTTGTAAATTTCAAAATAGCGGCCGTTTGAATTTTTATAACTTAAATAACTCAAAAACGGCTAATTCTATGAAATAATGTCAAGAATGCTTTGTTTAGCATTTTAAATTCCCTAATAAATGATACCAAGATCAAAAAGATTGGACAACAGATAACTGAAATAACTGGTTTTGGTGTAAAAATAAGTCAAAGTTATTTTTACTTGACTTTGGTGTCGTTTGATAGGAAGCTAAAAAAGTAGGGTTGAAATTTGTTTATAGAATTAGCCGTTTTTGAGTTATATAAGTTATTCAAATTCAAACGACCGCCATTTTGAAGTTTACAATCGGAACAACTTTATTATTTTTTTCCATAATATGTCTTGTGTATTTTAACATGGTTACCAAATTAAATAATCATAGAATAAAAAACTCCACAGTTAAAAATATTTTTATATAAATAACAAAATGGCGGATAAATAGGTAAATATGCATTTTCGGACATACCTTCAAATAAACTTTTTTCTACCTTTTAGTATGAGGATTCATTTCCCAAAGTCCTGAAACGTTTTTATGTACACCCTGTATATGTGCTTACCAAGGATCTTGAACTGGGCTTCCTATTTTACACGAATAAAATAAATAGGATTGATCTTTTTTGTGATGAAATAATTCAATAAACATTTATTTGTTGAATGTTTTTCATTCTTGGCTAGCTTTGCAAATAAAATAACATCTTGACATAAGAAATTAAGCCCAGATCTCTCGATAGAAAATGTTTTTGGAGAAAGTAAATACAAGATGGAGAGTCTCTAAGGCAATAAACCCCAGCCAAGTTCCAATATTGCTGCTTGTGACTCAGTTCGTCGACATTCGTTGTTTTTTTGTTTTCTTTTTTTTATACTCTTATAATTATTTAACAAACTAACTGCTATCCAGAATAAAACCAGTGTTCGGGTGTGTTGGTAGCCTAACTTTTAGCGCCTCAGACTTCGGTGCCAGAGGGACGCTTCGATCCCCGCTATACGCACATTGTCATTAGTTTGAGCTACTTGAACTCGTGACCCTGAGCTGTTGATATTTTTTAGACAAGAGTTATTGGCTACTTTGGTATTATACCGATCACACAAAAAATCTACTTCGGCATAACCTAGTCTACATAGTAGTAAACATAGTCTACCCTTAGGTTAGGTTAGGTTATAATTATTAGGCGTGGTTGGTATGATATCAAAGTACCATAATTAGTTACCAATGAACATTTTTTTATTTAAAATTGTTTTCTTACTTCGAGTATCTAACCATAATTGTTGTTGTGAACTTTTATAATGTTCATACAAATCTAAGTAAAAAGAAAAATAAATTAATAGTACTGTACAAAACTACTCCAAATAAATTCATACTTTATTCTTTAAATGTCTATTCCAACTTCGAACAATGTTAAATGCATTAAGAAGATGGGACTTTCCGTAAGTAAATTTAGGAAGGTAATTCTTTGAAAATTCCATTAGTCCTGTTAACGCGTTTCTTGTCACGAAGTCAGCTTTGAATACTGATGGAAGAGCCGCAAAGTGTGTTTAGAAAACGAAGTAAATTTTTATTTAAAAACTATTTCTTTATTGATTCTCTGAATCTAGGAAAAGCTTTTTAATTTCTATCTTTGTTATGTAACATTATTAAACTGAATATGGGATCTTAAATCACACGTAACATGCATACAATTATTAAATAGGTTCGTTTTAGATGTACGACACAGTCAAATAACAGTTCAAGTCTAGTCAAATATCCTAATAATGGCTGCGTTAGAGATACTGTCGGTTAGCTTCAAGATTCAAAAATATTTCTAGAGAAAAATAAAACGGTTGGCTATCGACCTGATTAATTTTACTTACACACATCCTGAAGCAAACTCAGTATAACTCAAACTCCCAATAAAAGCCTTACCCTTTAAACGTAAATAGTATTAAAGTAAGCTAATGATAATAAAAATTAACAAATATCATCATTAAACATTAATAAGCCCCAAAAACCTTTTCTAAAAATGTTTACTTTCATAAATCGTGCATAATCGACAACTTAAAAAATCTGCAAATAAAAAAGTATTTTTATCACTCGAGTAATTGTTTACTGGACACATTAATGGTCCATTATTTTCCACAACCCATACAAAAAGGATTCCCATGCTTCTCCGTGAACTCTTTAAGAGCGATCACTTTCTGACATTTCGTACACTTGAAGCACTCTTGATGCCAGGTTTTATTCAACGCGGTCAGTATGGTGTTTTTGATAGGCTGGCCACAACCAGAGCAGGATTTACCATAAAGCTGCATATAATCTGCCTCACAGTAGGGTTGGCCACTCTGCTCACGGAATGTCGGTTCCCTTATGGGTTTTTTGCAGTGTGCGCAGGTAAAGTGTTCAGGATGCCAGGTCTTGCCCAGTGCAGCTACCACAGTGTCTGTGATGGGTTTGTTGCATTGGGCACAGTTAGGGGTCACCTCGGACACCTTGTATATCTGGGAGGTACGGGCGGACATTTTGGATGTGAAAGTCTGTTGATCGTGAAGTATCAGTGGGTGAGATTAATCATCGTGAAAGTTTACTGGAATTTCCCTTGTTGTCTCTTGAGACTTTGTTACTGTGGAAACTGTTAGTAAAAAGTATTTACACACCTACCATTCTAGCAGTTACTTAATTTTCTTATCCAACGTATATTCTTTGACCATTTGGTAGTTTGAATGTTATAAATGATCATAGATAGGGTTAGAATAATAAACATCTTTCAAATTTCGATTTATCATCAAGTTAAGAAAGTAAAAAACATTATTTGCTCAACAACTAGATAAAATTACACTTCCTATACAAAAAAAGCTGAAGAAAAACTTTTTTATGAAAAAAGAGTCTGGCGGCCTCTTTTTACCTTGCATTATCTACATGGACTACAGATGCCTGTGTGCGTGGGTCATATCCAGCAACACAAGGGGTGAGCCGGTACAGTGAAGATTAACTGTACTCTACTTATAAAAAAGTAGTGGCAGATTCCAGGAACACACATGTCGGCCTCGGGCCCAAATTTCACGTCCGTAGCGCTATTGAATGAGCCACCGACTCACAATCATTTTTGAAATCCAAAAAAAAATTGAATTTGCTTCTATATTTATATTATACTTTTATAAAAGAAAAAACCTATTGCAAAAGTGCATTGGGTTTTAAGTCTACGGCGCTACTGATTGAGGTACTGACTTACCAATCATTTTATTTATTTAATAATATATGAAAACGAAAAAACTAATTAAACAAATTGCAGTTTTATTTTTAAAGTTGAAATTTTAACCTAATAGTTTCTATATAGATAAACAAAGGTGTTGTTGAAATACGGTAAGGTTATTAAGAGTGAAATGCTCCCTTGTATTGTGATGAAGTGCCTCAATATCAGTAACAATAAACCATGCTTCATCTAAACCTCCATTGTCTTATGTAATACATTGAAACAATAAGCAATGCATAAATGTTAGGATTTATACTGGCTCTCAAGTATCGTCCCGTTTAAAAATCGTAATATGTATTTTGCTTTATATATTTTACTTATGAATGATTGAAAGTGGTACAATTCTAATTATTAATTATCTTAATTTTGTCTAAGCGTGAAACGATTAAATAAATGTTGTTGTTTCATTTCAAATAGTTTTTTTTCTTTCTATTACTGGACATAATGAACTATGCTAAGCTAATCTCTGAAAAAGATCCGCATGGTGAGGCTAATAGTTCCTTATTTTTAGTCTCATACATATTAGATGAATCTGATAAGTACGTATATATATAAATATATATATATATATATATATATGAGATGTATGTTATATCTTTTAGAATATCACCGTCCACTTTGGTCTATATCGTAAGCTATTTGCAAAAAGAAAAAAAAACATTGAAGTTAAACAACCCCTGGATTTAATGGGTGATTCAGTTTTAATTCTAATAATCTAATTCAGTGATTTAATTAAGTTATAAATTCAGCATTAAGCTCTTGAAGTCCCAGTATCCGGGACCAAGTCAAAACTAATGCGATGGTCCTTAATTTTGGCCGATTTTGACTTTGAAATACATCACGTCCCAAGAGAGTTAAATCAAGCTGCTAATAGCTTGTCAAGAAACCCGGTAGACAGTGGTGAGATATCCAAAGAACTCATGGAGAAGGAAGTTCCAGTCCCAATGAAATTAAGACAGATTGAGCCTGTTCTTATGGTGGCACAACGGGAAAATTTTGATATTGACTTAGAACTGATAAAGAAATGGCAGAATGAAGATGCAGCTTGTACTAGAATGAAATCCTGGATAACCAAACGTTTACACTAATTCCGAAGCTGTCCCATTTCAGTTCAAGACATGCTATAAGAACCTTAGCATGGAAGACAGTTTACTTATGTACAAATCTCATCTATCAGAATCTTCTCCTGTGATTGTAGTTCTGAAGTCTCAAGCTGTAAGGATTCTAGAGAAGTGCCGCGACAGCCCTGAAGCTGGCCATCCAGGACAAGACGAGACCTACACTTCGATTCGGTTTCGGTTCTTCTGGGTAAATATGTATCGGGACATCAAGAACTACGTCCAATTCTGCACTGTCTGTGCCTTTACCAAAGCTAACAACCAAAAACTAGTACAAGCTTGAGAGGACGTCGGCCACAACAGACGTGGGAGGTTGTTGCTCTAGATCTTATGGGACCATATCCCAGAACATCTCGAGGGAAGATTGGAATTTTGGTAGTGACAGACCTTATTACCAGGGGGTCGAAGCATTTGCCATTCCTGAAGCTACTTCGGGAAGAATCCTACAGATCCTACGAGCAGAGGTCTTTAGTCGTTATGGTTATCCACGATGTCTTCTCACAGATAATGGCAGTCCATTCACGTCAAAACAATGGTTGCGTACAATTTAATTTTTATAATTTTGTTGATTAATAAACAATCATTTATTGATATAATGTTTAACTATTATCATGAGTAAAATAATAAGATAGTTTAGTAAATTGAAGTTAGAAATTGATTTATTTAGCCCCTGTATGTAGGTAAATGACCAATTAAATGTTGTAGTATGATATACATCATTGTTAAGCATTTATTGTTTAATATAATGACTAAAGTCTAACAATTCCTTGTACAGATTTCCCTAAGACCCCCGATGCAGAACTAACTCCACTTGAAGGGTTGTTCAAGAGATTTACTTGCAGATACACCGGAGCTGTTAGGCCATTAAACATCTCAAGTTTTGAACAATCTCTCCACAAACATCTCCAGCGTTCTTGAGGGAAGTTGAAATACTTACGGTACAGATACTTCACATAACAAAACTCTCAGGTTTCAAAATCTGTTTATAAAATAACCAAATAAATATTGCAGTGGACTTAAAAAATTAGTTCATGCACTTTATACAAAATAAAATACGTTTTATTGCACACATTTTTAAAATGTGTTCTTTAAAAATGACTAACAAATATGTTTTCGCAAACGCTAAGAACTGAGCTCAGTATTATATTCATAAAAAATGACGGTTAAAGAGTTCTATGTTAAAAACAGATCAGTAGTCACAGTAAGTCTGTAAATAGGATTTATTTCATAATTATTATGTATTTTTGTGATTTTGAATAACATTTCTCAGTTACAATATATATTTAAATCATGCAGTTACTAACGAGAACCAGAAACTAACGAGAATCATGCAGTTACTGGTGAGGGGGGGGGGCAGTTGTATATCATTGTAAAATCATTATAGTTCCAGCTTTTTAAATATTGGCTAGCGTTAACAAGCTAGATTTTATTTCTATGTGTCAACAGTTAGTACTATAATAACGTGTTGAGAAAATAAAATTTTTATCTTCTACGTAAATGTACAAAGTCAAAGTACACAGTACTACAAACATTGACTAATATGTATTATATATAACAAATGGCACCACTAAAATAAATTAAATTTAACCAAGTTTGAAAACATTTGATAAAATACGTATTGCGGATTTAAAACAAACACAAAGGTAATGCTAAGAAAGTAATATTTCAACTTCAGATTGGTTATCGCCTTAACGCGTTCCCCAACCCCGGTTAACTATGAGTCTTGTAGTGGAGCCAGATTTCTTACTAAAAAAAGCTATTACACGTTTTTTAAACCTACGTCTTCTTGTCTAAGTAGATGGACTAGATGTGGTGGGCTCCAATCCTTAGGAATATAAAACCTACGTGCTTAAGTACAGTTATGGGATTGACAAACACTTGTCCGGGACTGAAATAACTCTGGTCTTGGTTCCACTCCTACGCTTTGTTGGACAGCTAAAATCAGACTTCAACACTATTTACTTCCAGTTAGAAACTAGTCCTGAAGTTGTTTTTATCTCAATTATTTCAATTAATTTAATTTATTTGATACTATAGTTCATTTTTGTTGTTTTTTGCGTCATGATCAAAATTTAAATTCTTACTAAGTACCATAGTTCAAGTGCAGTTTAAGGCTAAACTTGTAACCAAACAGTCTTTATATAATATCTAAATTTAAAAAATATAAAAAATAAAAAGTGAAATGCATAAATACTCTCAATATTTAAAAAAATGGTTTCCCTTTATCCTAAGTCAAGTGCAAACGCTTTCTCATAAATTCTAAATGAGTTTGGACGTAGGGTTGGATTTAGCCAGACTACTTTACTTATCCGCTTGGGTTATACTGTATACTTAATATCTTAGCTTCTTACGTGCCCGTCCCAGATATCTGTGGTATATTTAAGTAGTCTTGGAGGTATTAGTTTTCCCGTTCTGCACAATTTATTAAACATGCTTCGTGTTTTTAGTAAAAAGGTTACACCAATTTTATATGCTGCATAACTTATGTAAATATCTAAATTGATGATAACATAAAACGTCGTGTACAGCAGTAATGTATTTATTAGTGAAAAGGAGTTAATGGATTACGGCATGTATTCAATTCAAAGATGTTTTCGATCTCGGCCTATTTGTTAAGCAGAACCTCGCTGTAAGTTATCCTAAAATGTAAATTTAAGATATTATAACTACTGTTTTTGTGGTTGCAGTTATACGATGTTATTACTTATAACTATAACCTATAATAAAATTTGTATATGAAGTCCTAGGATAAGAAGGAGTTAAGTCCACTTCTATAAATTTAGTTTGGAATGCAGAAACGTTCAATTAATTGTTAATGCTGAATTCGGCAATGTGTTTATTTTAGGAAAGAAAAAGCTCATTGATGCAGAAAACTAAAAGCATTATAGAAAATATTAGGTTTTGAACAATTATTATTGGGGCTGGCCAGTGTAATTATAACTAACAACGAGCTATAGGTTTTATTTGTGTTATGATTACCCAAAATAGGAGATAAATGTTCTGTTTTCTGTAACGAAAATATTTAAGGGACACAGAAACCCTCCAAACTTGTCTCCAGGGCGGATTTTTAATTAGGACAGGAATTCTCTCCAAGCATGTAATTAAAATTCTACCGTTTTTACTTTTTTACTCTCATTTTTATAAGCAAGAGTTCTGCTACGTCCTTAGATCTTCTCGAACTAAAATCAATTACTACTAGTTACCTTAAGACATTTGAAACATCTTGAATCAACTTT